CAGCAGATCAGGTGAAGCAGCTGGGGACAGACATGGATCAGGACTGGAAGACAATTTTGGAGTGTGACAAACTGATGGCAAAAAAAAGCCATGAGACTATCCCAAGAGTCAGCATGGATCCTAAGAGTTAGCATGGGATGGGGGCCGAGTAAAGGGAGGCCAGCGCCTTCTGTGCCCAGCCCCACTGGAGACACCCAGCGTAGCCATTCACTCAGTGTCCTGGGTCTTGGCGAGTCAGTGATGAACAGAATAAAGATTCCTGCCCAAATGGATATGTAAGGCTATGAAGAAAGAGAGGGCAAGGTAAGGATTGATCAGAGAAGGTCCTTCTGATAAGGGCACTTTTGATGAGACACCTAAAGGCGATCCTAAGAAAGCATAGGTTATCTGGGCAAAGTGCATTCAAGACAGTGCACTCCTTTGGCTTTTACTGGGAGATGGAAGCCACTGGAAGGTTTGAGCTAAGAGAATGACACTATCTGACTTGTCTTATAGGTATTATTGTGACTGCCATGGGGAGTGGTGTGAGGGAACAGGATGTTCAGGGAAGCCTAATGGGCGGGGAGGGCGGTTAATGCAATAGTCTAGGTATAGATGACTGTGGCAGTCCACCTTCTGGCATTTACCCTCTTGTGTTGTTCCCTCCCACAGTGTAGCAGGGGTAGTCTGTGTCCAGTAGAATACAGTGGAAGTGATGGTATAGCACTTTCAAGATCAGGTTTTAAAACACTGTGGCTTCCATCTGGTTGCTGTTCTCTTGGATCACTCACTCCGGAGGAAGTCAGCTACCCTGTTGTGAGCTGCTCCATGCCCATGTGGCATGGAACCAAGGTCTTCTGCCAACAGCCATTTTGTGAAGGAGCCTGGAAGCAGATCCTCCAGCCCATCAAGCCTTCAGAGACTGCAGCCTCATGAGAGACCTCGAGTCAGACCCTCCCACTAAGCTGCTCCTGGATTCTTGACCTTGAGGAACTGTGAGGTAATAAATGTTTGTTGTTTGAGCTGTTAAGTTTTGGGGCAATTTGTTACACAGTAATAGATAACTAATACAATGATGAGGACTTAGACCAGGTGATAGTAAACAGAAGTGGTGAGAAGTAGTTGGACCTGGCATACGTTTCAAAGAATTTGGACAGGTCCAGTTTGAGATGTTTATTAAGACATCCAAGTGGAAAGTTTAGAAGGCAGGCAGTCATAACAAAAGTTGAATCCCGGGAGAAGTTGGTATTTGGACAATATTTAAAGCCAGACGTCTGGCTAAGACCAGAAGAATGAGTAGAGCCAGAGAAGAGAAGAGGCCCAGGTACTGAGCCCTGGGATAGCACAACTTTGAACAACTAGGAAAAGGAGGAGAAGGAGCACCCAGTAAGAATGATGGAAAAACAGAGTGAGGTGTTCCAGAAGTCAAGTGAGGAGCTTTCTAGGGGGAGGGTGTGTTCACCTGGGCCACTAGTGGTAAAGTTGGTATGAAGGAGACAGAGGCAGTCTATGTGATGGTGTGGAGGACGGCCCCCCTTAACCGGGAGGAAGGTGTCAAGTGGTGGGAACAAGAGCTGACTGGAATGGCAGAAAGAATGGAAGTGAGGAAGAGGAGACAGGGACTACACAAATCTCTTTAGGGAGTTTTGCTTAAGGTGGGGATGTTTGCTGGGAAGGGACATGGGGTTAAACTAAGGAGGGGTTTTATTTTTAAGGTAGCTATTATCATAGTATGGTTTAAGCTGATAGGAATAATTCAGAAGAGAGATGGGTGATATCCATGGAGACATCAAAGATGCCTCCAAGGTTTTGACCTGCATCTTGAAGCATGGACACGTGACTTCCCAAGGTTGGCATGGCCCTCCCTGGTGGGCTGACACGGAAGCTACAAGGCCGTGCAGCCCTTGGCCTAGAGGTACAGGCATAGTCTCCTCACTGGGCAACACTGTCCCAGGGGAAGAAGGACAGAGCACTGCAGATGCTATGGGCAAATCCAGGTGACGTTTAACGTAAAACTCAACTCTACTGCAAGGCAAAGAAAATGACTTTGGCCTCTCAGACTTGGTTTTATAGTGGACTCTATTGGGAAAAGTTAGTGTAAAAAACATTCAAATTCATAAAATTTAAATAAGACAGTAAAATTATACCTTGTAGCTAGAGTAATCGCTATAGTAATCACAAATAAGGTAAAGTTGAAATTATTGCCTAAGCAAACACTATTTTGTCAGGCTTCTGTTGCAAGCCCAAGGCAGGAAACATTGCAATTATTAGAAGTGAGCCCAATGATGAATTTGCATTTGAAGCCCAAGAAAGGGAAAAAAAGCATGTTCTGATTACAGCATCACAACATTCTAGCCTGAAAAAAGCAACTTTATTAATGTCCTGCAGCAAAGTACATTAGTAATTATAACCATGCATTAAAATTCTCATTGCATGTCATATAGAGAGTAATCAGTTTTTTCACGATACATTATGTTTTACTGAGTTTTGTGTGGTTTGTCCCTCTCAAGACCTTTCTGGGAACATTCCTTTTCCAGGGATGGCTTTCTAAAACACCCAGGTTGCTTACTCTGGGTGGTCCTTGGTCATATAATACCAGCCAAACCGCTGGAACCCAGGGCTAGTGGAAGCCCCCTCCCTGAACCAAGGATGAGTCAGATCTCCTTCTCTCAAACCCTAACGCCACCACTAAGAGAACAGGCCTCAAAACTTGGTCAAGAGTGTTACTAACAAGTTAATGTGAGAGTCTCTTTGGTTATGGAATTTTTTTCTTTAAGCTTATTTAAAAAAATATAGCTAGAAATATGCTCCTGAATTCTAAAAGTATTTTTGACCAACTTAAACACAAATATGTCCTTGCAAAATTCACCACCTGGCCAGGTTTAACATTTGCCTATTTCCCTGTGGAATCTAACATCAGTGTTCTATTTAGCAAATACATTTGAGTGAAGAAAAGTAACTGATCTTTAGGAGCCCCAAGGGGTGGGGGCAGCTGGCTAGGGCAGCCTTAGATACTGTCCATGGCTTTGAACTCGCTGAGGGCCTGAACAGGGTTCACGTGCTTCTTCTGAGATGCCCGTTTAATCTTGGTCTGTGTCTCATCCTGTTTCTCTCTCTTCACCAAGGGCTTTTTCTCAGGTGCCTTCATCTTCCATGACACAGCCGGGAGGTTGAGGGAAGCCATACCCTGAGACTTTTGGTATTTGGTGGAGGCAACGTAGGACGCCTTCACTGTCTGCACCACGGCGTTCATCAAGTTCTTGGCAGCCTGGATCAGGGACATGGCGCTGTCTACCTATGAGGCACAGACAGGGGCAGTGAGGAGCACAGGCCTGACCTCCAGCCCCATGTGCACTGGGGGGCTGTCAGTGCCTGAGGGAGGAGTCCCCACTCCTCCCCCTCCAGGACAGGGCTGAGCAGCAGCCCACTTCCTGTTTAGCTCTCCCAGTGGCTGCCTACTCTTATCCGAATACCCTGAAAGTGCCTATGTTTTTCAGATCTTTTGAAGAAGAAAAAGGAGTAGTAACAAAAACATAAGGCACCATCCCCTTGCCTGCCTCTACCCTTCAGCAAGTTTTTATTCACTCAAACAAGCTGCGGGAGGATCTGCATTTTCCTGAGTGATTGCAGAGTTACAACCACAAGCACTGTGAACAGCCACGAGGAGGAGGAGACAGAAACCCCACTGCTTTCAGTCATGCCCCAGGGGGTCTCTTCTCTTATTTAGAGAAGAGGGATAACTGCTCCCCAGAGGGGGGCATTTATGTTGTAGCAGGTGGGCAAGTGGTATTAGTATATCCAACATACAAAGTAGTTCTTTGAAAGGAAATTCTGTGGGATTAGCAGAAGCCACAAGGAATCAGTGGAGCCCAGCACACAGAGCGAGACGTCCTCTTTCCCCTGCCCAAGGTGACGAGGGGTCCAGAACTGTGACATGGTAAACAGACAGAGAGACTACTCGGGCACTTTGAGGGGTGGAGGAGGTTTGAGAAAGCCTATCTGTGTCATCTTTGCAATTTGTGAACAGGCTCAATTCCTCTCTGGGGGAAGAAAAGCAAGGAAGATAAAAACATTTTCCCAGTGAGTGGCCAGCAAAAGGGAAAAGGCCAGCCCTGTAATGGCTCCAAGCTGTCACAAACCATGCCCTGCTAAACAGAACTGCATGTCCTCCTTACAGGAACAGGAAGCAGGCAGCGGCCAATATGCAGCCCTTGACCTCCAAGGACTGAGAAGAAACTTCAGGTTTTTCCACAGCCCACTTTCCCAGTTCAGGGCAGGTAACGAGTGTATGTGGACAAGAGGCTACTTTCATTTTGGACAAAAGCCAGCACATTTCCACCAACCACTACTTTTCACAGATGAAACTTACCCCAGAGACGACGAGCTCCCCACCAAGGTTCTGCACCTCAGCCTTGACTTTGCTGCAGATGTTGAGCTGGTGGCAGTAGAGGGCGATGCGCTGGAGGTAGGCCAGCAGGTCCTGCTTGCAGGCCGAGTCTGGGCACTGACGGGAGAGCAGGCATAGCACCATGCACTCAGGGCACGGTCCAAACACACCCTACACCCAGGGCTATTTCTGAAAGGCTCAGTGTGCCACCAACAGGCTTCTTCTCTCCTTGCTGGGGCAAAGGGCAAGAGAGGAGTTATCCAACTATCTGGGGTGGTCACAGACCTAGGCTACTCTCTGCTTGGGACCGTGCCCCTCAAGGTGAGAAAAAGCCTCAGCCAAGTAAGAGCCTGGTTCTAGAGAAAAGTCAGACTGCTGTGAGCTGGGTAATAACCATCCAAATAGCTCTTCTGCTCAGAAGCACTTTATCTGCTTAATTATGATGCACACTGTAAAGGCCTGATGAAAGGAGATGTTCACTTCAGGCAAAGATGGAGGACAAGCGAGTTAAACCAAAGCGAGAGAGCACGTGGGGACTGTGAGGTCTTGACCAGGGACAGGGAAGCCCGGGGGAGCGCAATTCCTGTTCTGCTGCCAAAGCTCAGGGTCAGGGGAGGCTCCTGGATCGGGGCTGGCTTAGGAGGCTTTACCCAAAGACGGAAACATGGAGCACCTCTCAAGTGTTTACAGCAAACACTTCCTTCCTGTGAGGCTGGGGCGCAGTGAGAGGGTTGTATAAAATGAGGTCTGAGACCACGCTGGAGATTTTGAATTTTAAGAAGCCACTGAAGCAGGGCAGAGCCGTATCTGATTTGCATTTTAAGATGATCATATAAGAAGACTGAGTTGGCAGCTGTGTAGAGAATGGAGGGAGGAGCGGGAAGTCAGTGAGGAGAGGCCACACTAGTCCAGGCATGGGGCCGAGGAGGTGTGGACTGAGCTGGTGGTTGCAAAGAGGAAAAGACTGGATGGTGTCAAGATCCATGAGGCCAGCAGAAGCACCAGGGCTTAGTACTGGATTACATGAAAGAGAGGGGAGTCAGGGATGACTTCTGAAGTCTTTGGCTTGAGCAATGAGAAAGCGCTGTCACTTAGCCTGCAGCCTGGATACTTCAGGGAAAGGGGTGGGAAGGGTTTGTAACTGCAGAGAAAAACAGTGTCTCTGATAATAAGTCTTGGAGCATCGGAGGAAATGTATGGTAAACTTGCCAGGAGGCAGGAACCACATGTTTTGATATATCAATATGAGCAATAAAAGGGATGAAGGCTGGGTAGTCAAGAACATGAAGTGCTGAGGACACAGACGTCTTTCCCCGACTGGGCACATGAGCCTTCAAAAGCAGTAGCCAAACAGGCTCCTGATCCTTATATGAAATAAATCCACAAGAAGAGGCTCTTAGACACCTGGTTTCAGTGTGTTAGGGTTTGCAGAAGCAGCTCGTGCCCAGAGCTGAAGTTCTGAAGAGAACTGAGAGGTAATAAATACACAACAGTCAACAGTAGAGGCTGGTTTTAACTGTCAACCAAGGCAAGATTTCAGGACATACACACCTGCTCCAGAGATGTGCCCTAATGCAAACCGGGCCTACCTCCTAAGACTTGTCAAAGAAGAAACAAGAATTCAGAAATCCTTAAAAATCTATGCTGGTATTAATCAAACAGTTTGGTGAGTTAAGAACAATTTTGGAGATGAGAAGAGTGCTGTGTCCCATGTAAAATCATTACTGCCACCTTAGAATGGACCAGGCTGGGCTGCCTGAGGCCGAGGATGAAGCAATTCTGTCACTTACATGGTCTGCGATGGTACGGCCAAGCTTATCCATCCTGGATCCTGCCTCAGCAATTTTCTTGGCGGCACTGATCACATCTGATGTATTTTTGAGTGGTCCTTTACCTCTGAAAAAAGAGAACAAGATCATTGTATATGAAGCCCTTCATAGCTGGAGATGAGCAGAACAGAGAAGATGTCTACAAAGCGGCACCGTCCTGCCTGTCTGAGGTGACCTGTGGGGAGGAAAGCTGCCCTCTATGTAGCTGGTAAGGGCTGGGCACTGCTCACCGGGTAAAGTCAGTCATCTCCATCATAATCATGCACATCTGCTTGGCCAGCACGATGATGTCGTTACCACTGTCATCCCATTTGGACACTTCAGCGTCCAGCTTGCTCTTTTCTTCCTGGAAGCTGGCCACCTGTTCCGCAATCTTTGCTTTTTGCTCCTGGGGAAGCTGAGCCATGATCGCCTAAAATCAGAAGCACAGAAAGCTCTTACATAAAGAGAATATGAAGTTTTCACAGGGCATTAGCCAAGAATATTTCTACCAAGCAGTCTATAACATAGGTAGGATAACGCTTTAATAGGTTTCATTTTGTCTGAAGGGCAATTTCTGCTCATTTCGTGCAGAAGTTTACGGCAGCCTGAATTCCTGACCCACTTTCGAGGGTAAGTTTCAGTGTGAAGGAAAACAGAGTGTGAGGGATAGAAGGGTAATGTGGAAGCTTTGTGAGCACACCTGCATAGGGACAGAACCTGCTTAACTTAATTCTTTACACGTTTCGTGCTCTGCCGCCTGCTGTGGGAAGAGGAGATGACAGAAGGGGCCAGTGCATGAGCCCTTTCCCTGGAGGGCCGTGAATGGACCTTTCCTGTGGCTGCATTACATCTCCAACTTTTCAAGGTGAAGTGGACATGGTTTTAGAATGTAAATTTTAAAGAGGGAAAGGAGAAGAGAACCTGCTAAGGTATATACATTTTAGCTACTTGAGATGTCATTTAAACCTTATCAAAGCAGCACCTGGAGGCCTACTGCCCACCTCAAACCCCAGAGACTCCAGGCCTCAGACTCCTCCCACTAAACTTCCCAAAATGCTCATGACTGAGTGAGGCCTAAAGCAGGATGCACTTGCTGTTCAAAATGACTTTTAAGGAGTGAAAAAAGACTCCTTAGAAATATTTCTTGGCATCCTCCCAAAAACATAAATGCTATTGATTGAAGGTTTAATGACTCAAATGAATGCAATGGCTCTGACTGATTTTCTTGAATGTACCACTGTTATTTTTTTTAACCCATGAATAATTAAATAGTTCATACCCATGGTATCATTGAGATGGGCAAAGAGAGCAATCTTTTTTGAATTTCACAATCCTTTTAACAAACATTTCATTGACTAGATCCTAGGCTTTCCTGACGCAGGGCTCTGTCATAAACCACAGCCCCAGGGCACAGCTGAGAAAGCCCATGTTCCTGCCGTGCTCCCAGCTAAGGAGACATTTCTGAAGAACCTACAGTTGACTAGCAGGTGCCAAAACTTGGGTTAACTTCAGTCCTACTGCCAGAGAAAAGAAGAAGAAAAATGGTGTTCTCAATACTGAGAGTGTTTTCCTAGAAAAGAAAAGCCAAGACCTAAGAGGAACAGGGAAGATCTACAGAACAAATTAAATTTGTTCCTTACCCGGGCACTTTGGCCAGCTATCAGCTGATCATCTTCTGTCTGGACACTTGTCCTACTTCTGACATCAAAGTCTTCTGTCTCGAAGTCGGAGTCATCCAACTCCTCAGGGGTCTGCCACAAAGACAGAGATCATGAGTCAGATACAACCCTGGGCCTCCAGCTGTCCCAAGCCTCTGGACCCACAGCCCCTGGGCCCATGTACGATACCCAGAATTCTGGATTTTCATGTGCAGTGTTCCAAACAGTTGTGGGTAATAAACTTAAAATCACTCATTATTCGTCTGAGACCCTGCCTCACTGATGCACACGTGGGGTTGGCCCGTCCAGCAAACAGCAGGCAAAGGCACCACACTAGCATGTCCCAAGGGGCCTAGGGGTTCCTTTATGGGGGTTAGGGGTTCAACTTCTACCAAGGAGTCAAGACTTTCTTTGTTTGAAAGGAGCTTTTCACTTCTTGATTTACTTCTCTAACACCTGCATCTTAAGACAAAGGTGAGACTTGTCCTGTGTAAAAAAGACACTCTATTAAAAATAGAGGTGTTTTATACAACATTAAGCAGATCCTTATAACTTTCCCAGTTTATGACAAAAAGAAAATTAAATGCATTTACTGGGCCTTCTTTTAGGGTGCTTTGAGGAGTAAAAATAGGCAATGTATTTTTATGTATTATTTTTTTTTTACTTTTATCAAAGGAAAAGAGAGAGAATATGGCAGGTAAGGTCTGAGAAAATACCAAAGGGATTGATTACTGGTCCTAGCTCTTTGCTTTAACTATGAAATAAAATTCTTACTTTGCACAACCTCCAGCCTCTCATGATTAGCTGCTGACTAGAAACATAATGTCATCTTATGGAAGTTATCAGTAATGGGGCAGCAGGCAGAACAGCTGGGGTTGGCTCTTGTCCCAGCTGACCAGCCTGTGACAGGAGGGCAGTGAGGCGAGTCCCTCATCTGCACCAGGACCTAATCCAAGCCCAGCCCAAGGGCTTGCTGTGAGGCTCAAGTGAGAGGACGTGTGAGAAAGCATCTGAAACCACCAAGAGGATCTTAGGTTTGTACATGTGCAATGTCTGGGCCTGTCCCTCAATGATATGAGGTGAGGACAGCGGAGGTCACACGAGGCATTAGTGAGCCTCAGAGAGCACGTCAATGCAAGATCCTGGAGTCTCACTGACTTGGCAGCCCAAAACACTATGCCACCATTGGCCATTTTAATGCTGGGGTCACAGATACCTTTCGAGTTTTGGTGAGTGCTAAGGCTGTGGAGGAGCATTCTCAAAGGAGTGCCTCCTAACAAGATCTCCACTTCTGCAATGCCCTGGAAAGTCCATCACAGACCCAAGAACTGTTCTTGCCAAAAAACCAAATACCTTCTATTCATTCATTTGTTCATTCCTTCATTGAGTATGCATGTGCCAAACACTGTTCTGGGCCCTGGAGGTACAAAATGACTAACACAAAAATTCCTGCTCCTACACACATAGGCATACCTCAGAGATGTCACAGGTTTGGTTCCAGACCATCACAATAAAGCGAATATCTCGATAAAGCGAATATCTCAATAAAGCGAGTCACACAAATTTTTTGGTTTCCCAGTGCATATAAAAGTTATGTTTACACTATACTGTAGTCTATTAAGTGTGCAATAGCATTATGTCTAAAAAAATGTAAATACCTTAATTAAAAAATACTTCATTGCTAAAAAATGCTAACCATCACCTGAGCCTTCAGTGAGTCATAATCTTTTCGCTGTTGGAGGGTCTTGCTTCGATGATGATGGCTGCTGACTGATGAGGGTGGTGGCTGCTAACAGCTGGATTGGCTGTGGCAATTTCTTAAAATAAGAAACAAGGAAGTTTGTCACATCGATTGATTCTTCCTTTCACAAATGATTTCTCTGTAGCATGCGATGCTGTTTGATAGCATATTACCCACAGTAGAACTTCTTTCAAAGTTGGAGTCAATCCTCTCAAACTCTGTAGCTGCTTTATCAACTAGGTTGATGTAATATTCTAAATCCTTTGTTGTCATTTCAAAAATCTTCACAGTATCTTCACCAGGAGTAGATTCCATCTCAAGAAACCACTTTCTTTGATCATCCATAACTAGCAATTCATCTGTTAAAGTTTTATCCTGAGATTGCAGCAATTCAGTCACATCTTCAGGCTCCACTTCTAATTCTAGGCCTCTTGCTATTTCTACTACATCTGCAGTTATTTCCTCCACTGAAGTCTTGAACCCCTCAAAGTCACCCATGAGGGTTGGAATAAACTTCCAAACTCCTGCTAATGTTGATATTTTGACCTCTTCCCATGAATCACGAATGTTCTTAATGACGTCTAGGATGGTGAATCCTTTCCAGAAGTTTTTCAATTTGCTTTGCCCTGATCCATCAGAGGAATCATTATCTTTGGCAGCTATAACTTTACAAAATGTATTTCTTACATAATAAGACTTGAAAGTCAAAATCACTCCTTCATCCATGGGCTGCAGAATGGATGTTGTGTTAGAAGACATGAAAACAACACTAATCTCGTATACATCTCCATCAGAACACTTGGGTGACCAGGTGCATTTGTCAATGAGCAGTAATATTCAAAAGAATCTTTTTTTCTGATTAGTAGGTCTCAACAGTAGGCTTAAAATATTCAGTAAACCATGTGGTAAACAGATGTGCTGTCATCCAGGCTCTGTTGTTTCACAGATTTAGCATAATTCTTAAGGGCTCTAGGATTTTCAGAATGGTAAATGAGCACTGGCTTGACCTTAAAGTCACCAGCTGCATTAGCCCCTAACAAGAGAGTCAGCCTGCTCTTTGAATCTTTGAAGTCAGGCATTGACTTCTCCTCTCTAACTATGAAAGTCCTAGATGGATCTTTTTCCAATATAAGGCTATTTCATCTACATTGAAAATCAGGTGTTTAGTGTAGCCATCTTGTTTAATTATCTTAGCTCGATCTTCTGGATAACTTGCTGCAGCTTCTACATAAGCACTTGCTGCTT